AAACCCTTTGACACTGAAAATGTAATGACTCAATGTTTGGTGTTTAAGGTGCTGCTCTCTGGTATAATTTTTATCTGAGAGCCACAAACTGCTGTTGTAATTATAAGCAACCACTATGTCTCCCTTCACATTTTGTTCCTGCACGTGGGTCAGAGAGCTCATCTGTCTTTGGCCCGTGTGGGACATAAGCCAAGAAGATAATGATACCAACCATTAAATTTTTTGTTTTATTTTTGAGATTATAATATAATTATGCCATTTCTCCCTCCCTTTTCCTCCCTCCAAACCCTCCCATATACCTCTTTTCATATTCATGGACTCTTTTTTTCATTAATTGTTGTTACATGCTTATATTTTATATGTGTATACACTTTCCTCAATACAGCCTTGCAGCCTATATAATGTTATTTGTTTTTATGTCTTGAGGGTGAGACCGTTGGTATTGGGAAACCAATTAATGTGCTCTTCCTTGGGGAAGATGATTTCTTATGCTCTCAGAATTCCTTGGTGGTGCATAGTTCTTCATGTAGGGTTAAAGCCTTGTGGGTGTCCCCCTCTCTACTTTGACATGTCTACTGCTGTCCTTCCCAGCTCGTATTTAGGTGGTTATGTTGGTGAGAATTTATGGGTATAGGTGGCAGTGCCACTGGGAGATGCCGTCTCACAGAAAGCTCCCTGATCTCTGATCTCTGGTGCACCCCCTCTTCTGCAATACTTTTTGGGCCTTAAGTTCCAGAGCTGATTTGTAGATGTATCTGTTGGGACTAGAATCTACAATTCTGAATTTTGGTTATCTAATTTTTTTTATTTTTTGTAATGATATCTGTTTTTTACACAGAGAAATTTCCTTGATGAGGCATGAGGACGACACTTATCTGTCAATTTACTGACAGATAGTTAGAGTATATACATTAGGGGTTATGTTGATTTAGTAAAGTAGTGGTTGTAGGTTCTCTAGACCCATGACTTCACTAGCTATGGGTAGTTGACTAGGATTCCCATAACTGGAAAGATTTCCCTCTGGAGTGGATCTTTAATCCAGCTAGAGAGTTGTTGGGGGGCTGGAGAGATGGCTCAGAGGTTAAGAGCACTGACTGCTCTTCCAGAGATCCTGAGTTCAATTCCCAGCAACCACATGGTGGCTTACAGCGAACTGTAGTGAGATCTGGTGCCCTCTTCTGGCCAGCAGGCATACATACAGGCAGAACACTGTATAGATAATAAATAAATAAATAAATAAATAAATAAATAAAGCATACATACAGGCAGAACACTGTATAGATAATAAATAAATAAATAAATAAATAAATACATCTTTAAAAAAATTGGGAAAGAGAGTTGTTGGTTACTGCCAAGGTAGCTGTGCCACTACTGGACCCATAGGGTTGTGTGTCACACATGTTGGTTGTGGTTGAGTTCTATAGATGTCATGACTGAGGAAGGTAATTCATTGTTTACCTCCTTTGGAAACAGGGACCTCTGGACCCTCTGTCTGAAGTACACAGTGGTTTCAGCAATAGAAATTTATCTTCCACCTCTGGGGGACAATCAAGAAAAGCAGCAATAGTCTAATGCTTTGAGAGTCTCTTGGATAATCCTGCCCAACAACTCAAAAGGGGTTCTGATACCTGACATTAGGGTTTTTATTAAATGGTTTGGGCTCTTGGAGGTAGCATTGTTATCCAAGATCAGAAAATTATATTTTAAACTATGCATGTATATTTATATACACATTTCCATGTATTATAGGGGATTTTGGGGTAAATAGTTAACATTTATGATTCTTTATGACTTTTCAGACGTCCTTACGTATTTTCCATTTCTCCTTTCTTCTTCTGTATTTCTCTCCCTTTTTCCTCTCTATTGTTTCGTGTATTTTCTTTAGGTTTGATTTATTTGATATAATTTTTTAGGCTGTTTATATCATGATAAGTTTTTCTTTTGCCTTCTATTAGCAAATAGTTTTGCTGGGTATATTGGTCTAGGCTGGCACTGGTTAGCAGATAGCTTGGCTGGGTATATTGGTCTAGACTGGCACTGGTTAGCAGATAGCTTTACTGGATATTTTGGTCTAAGCTGGCCCTGGTTAGCAAATAGTTTTGCTGGGTCTAGGGTTTAGTTTTGCTATGGGTCTAGGCTGGCCATCATAATATTGTAGGACTTTTTCAAAGTTTTCATTGAGAAATCAGCTATTACCTTGATGGCTTTCTGTCATATGGTACTTGGATTTTTTTTTTCCTCTTGCAGCTTTCAAGAGGAAAACAAATACTTTCAATATTGTACTGGTTAGTTTTGTGTCAATTAACACAAGGTAAAGTCATTAGAGAGGAGGGAGCCTCATTTGAGGGCATGCCTCCGTAAGATTAGGCTGTAGGCAAACCTGTAGAGCATTTTCTTAACTGGTAATGAGTCAGGTAAGGCCTAGCTCACTGTGGGTGGTGTCCTCCCTGGGCTGGTGGTCCTGGGTTCTTGGAGAAACCAGGGTGAGTAAGACATGGAGAACAAGCTGGTAAGTAGCTTTCCTCCATTAGTTCCTGCTTTCAGGTTCCTGCCCTGCTTGAGTTTCTATCCTGAATGTTCATCATTCGTCTGATGATGAACAATACTGTGGAAGTGAGAGCCAAATAAACCCTTTCCTCCCCAAGTTGCTTCTGATCATGGTGTGTCATCAGAGCCATAGCAACTCTGACTAGGACAAATACACTTTCTTCGTTGTGTACATGAAGTGCTTTAACTGTGATAGATCATGGAGATTTTCCTTTCTGGTCTTCTCTATTTAATGTTTCATGTCCTTGTTGTATCCGTATGAGTGTGTCTTCCCTTAGTTTGGGGGAAGTTTTCATCTATGATTCTGTTGACGATCTGATCTGGTCTATGTCATTGACTTGGGATTCTTCTCCCGCATCTGTGCCTATCATTCAAAGGCTTGGTTTTTCTTGGTGTCCCACCTTTCCTCTATGTCCCTTTCCTGTGGGACATAGGACAACAAATTGTTGTTGGTTTAATTCATGTTCTAGATTCTTTTATCTTTGAATATATATTCTATTTCCTACTCGATTCATTCTGCTTGTAAGGCTTTTCCTTTGAGATTCCTAGTTGAGTCATTGGGTTTTTCAATTCCATCTTCACTCCAGCTCGAGTCCTCTCCAGTGTTTCTGTCTTCTGATGGAATTCCATTCCCATCAGATGGAATTCTAATTCCCACTAGATTGTCTTTGTCATTTCCCTCAGCCTTATGGTGGTGGTGTTGTTTTGCCAGGGAGGGCATATTTCAAGCATTAGATCTCCTTTAATTTAATAGAGCTGTTTCTTTGTGTCTTTTTTTAAACTCCCTGAATTCTTTGATGAAATTTGTTACTGTCCTTTTAAATTCTGTATTCAGGTCTATCTAGGTAATTCCTCTTAGCTGGAGACACGCTGCAGTGATCCACTTCCTTCAGCTATGTGTCACTGCCTCCAATTAATCTACTTCTGTTTTGAATACACTAGTGGGTCAGAACCCCCATGGTCTAATCCACCCTGGAATGTCCCTCACTGATACACTTGGAGGCTTGCTTCCCTAAACTCCTATGAGTCTCTCAATCTACAGATCTGAAGTCAAGATTAACTATCATGAGGCTTCCTCAAGATAGCCTGCCGGAGGCTCGGGCAGGTGTTGGACGTGACTCCAAAGGCTGTTCTAGCAGGAATTCAACTGTGTGACTGTCCCCTTATTTCTATCACCTCCTGGGGGCAACAGGAGCTCTGGAAACCACACAGACAGCCACGTGGACCTTTCTTTTTGTGGCTCTGATGTTGCGAGCACAGACCCCTGAGCACTCTCGTGGAGGGGAAGTGTGATGTGTGGTCTGTGGAAAGATCCCTGCCTGTGGTCCTATGTCACTGTGCATCCCATCCGGCCCCCTCACCCATCTCAGTGTCCAGTCCCAGCTGTTGTCCGTGCCCTTGAGTTCCTAACGACTGACCTGTGATCTCCCCTGGACTGGTGTGTTAAAGTTATTCTCCAAGCCACTGTCTTTTTAGTGAGTGGCCTATGTCCAGCCCTGAGCTGTGTGGCAGATTCCCTCTTTGGTCCTTTGCTCATGGGTCTGTTCGGCCCTCCCACTGCAACACCTTGATATGGGGATGGGCTTGCTGGTGCAGCATCCTAGTGAGCTGCCCTCCTACAGGAGGTACTCACTATCCAGCTGATGCCCAACACAGAGCCTTCTTGGATTCGTCATACATTATTCATTAGCATCTTCACACTTTAAAGAATGGGATCATTCAAAATTCAGTACGAAATCTGTAAACTTTGTCTCCTCTCGATTTTTCAAATTTCGGTGGCATCTCAGGAAAGCCCTAGCTTAGAATGTCGTCATCCTTTCTTTTGGAGTCTACTTTTCTAGGATGGGGGTGGGGGGCTTTTAAAAATACACTTCCTTTGGTACAATTTAGGTTGAGACTGGTAGGTTTGAATATAGAGGTAGTAAAAGGTCAAAAGTAGTCAAAAGTAGTTTTGTGTGTGTTAGGAAACCAGATAGTTTCCTAACACACACGCACGCGCGCGCACACACACACACCCCTCTGGTGACATCTTGAGTCACTGTCATGGTCAACAAACCTATGCATTCCTCACTAAAACCTTTACTTTACTCAAACTTTATTTTGACCCAGAATCCTACCTACTTTCCAGGATCAGAACCACTCACACTTGCGTGGTTTCAAGGCAGACCCTGGCCGTTTTGAGGATGACCAGCCCGATGGGTGAGGAGTCTCTGGAATGTCTCTGAGACGCTATGTGCACCGTGTTCTTCCCACTGTAAGACTGGCGTTGTAGGGTTAAGGAGCGGACCACAAGGTCATGTCAATCTCATCCAACCCAGTCAGGGGTGCACCCTGACACCTTACCTGACCACTGTGACACCCACAGAGTGACTCCAGCAGAGACAGTGTGACATCACCCTGTCTCCCCTCCTCCCTGTGCACCTGGACAGGCGGGCCCTGTGGGCAGCCCACCCTGGAGTCTGAACTGTGCTCCTTCTATGCGGGGAAAGTAGCCACAGAGGCCAGCGGAACTTTCGCGCACAAGATACGTGTCTTTTCTCTTTTTGATTTTGAGACAGGGTCTCCCTGAGTGTGGTCTAGCCTGATCTGGAAGCTGGTGCTCCTGACTATCTCCCAGGTGGTGGTGGTTTTGCCAGCATGAACTGTCATATCTACCTTGAGCTTTTTGTCAGCTACTTATCTGTTTAGTCTTTTTCTTTCGTGATATTTTTTTCTGTTTTTGTGCTTGCAAAAGGCATTAGTCTTGTATTTGGGATCATAGTTCATACAGCTGCTCAGAGCACTCAGATGTTGGTGTGTGCTCAGCTTTTGAGTGGTTTTGCACGTTACCAATGCAAGTGAATCGTCTTGAGCCTGCCCTTGGCAGCTCCATGGCGGCTCCATGGTGGCACCATGTCGGTTTCCATGCTTCTCAGGACCTCTGTTTGTCTTTGATAGAGTTAGCCATTTATCCTATGCCTGCTGGTTTCTTACATCAGACCACATTACTGGACTGAGGATCTGGGCATGGCATGTATTCTGTGTAGAGCCCCGTTCCCTCTGTGTCCTCTCAGCTGCTGTCCAGGGAGGCCCATGCACACATGCCAACCAGTGCATGTGCCAGCATGCTGCCTAGAAATGCTTTCTCTTTGCTTCTGTAGTAAGGAGAACATGAATTCCTACTTAATTTCCCAGTTCTGTTCTAGTATCCCGGGATTTCTAGCCTCTGTGCCTCGCTCATCGTTAGCCTCCTACCGACAGGGGTGCCTTGAAATTGGCACAGATAAACAAGTGATGGATGGGAAAGATGAGCACACTCCTTAAGCAGCTGCGTGCTCGTGTGCACACACACGGAGGCCCCAGGGGACCACTGGGTACCCTGTTCTGTCATTTCCCATCCCGTTCCCTTGAGATGGGGGTCTTTCACCAAACCCAGAGTTCCTCATTTTATGACTAGGCTTTTTACCAGGGAAACTGGGGTTTCCCTTTGGGGTTCTCAGTCTCCTTAATAAGAGGATGTACAAATGAACTCAAGAAACAAAGGTCTGTTTTATTAGAGCTTCAGAGAAGCTGTTGGCAAAAGAGATTAAGGGGAAACCATGCCATTGATGTTAGGCATAGGAAAGAAACAGCTTGTAAGAAAGAAAAAGGCATCCCCAGGAATGGGTTTTCCTGCTGAACTGAGAAAACCACCCCGAAAGCATCCATCAGGAGGCAGTGTATTGTTTATAGTCCCCGACCTTTGTAGGCTTTGTGTCGAGCGTGCTCTACTCACTAGTGGCCACCAGAAGGAAGGGCTCCTACTCTTCTGCAACTGGGCTTCTGTCACATTTTAGTCCTGATATAACTGTGTTTGTTCCTGCTGTCTTACCCCAGACTGGCAGGACAGAAAGCCCCAGGGATCCCCCTCTAGTGCTGGGGTTACCAGCAGGTGCTGGGACTCCAGGCTCAGACCCTCATGTTTGTGCCTCCAGTGTCCGTTCCACTGAGCTGTCTCACCAGCTCCCATTGTCTCTTCTATCTTTGATTATTATAATTATGGACTGCCTGTCTATGGAGAGCCCAGTCTAGAAGAATGGATCGCAGCACCGACCATTGCATGATCTCTCTTGAAGGTAAGGAGAGAAAGTCACAGGTAGTATAGGCATCCAATGCCACACCAGACTAGAAGGAGTTTTAGTAAAGAATGATTGACAGTTACTCTCTGTAATTCAGCTCAGGGCCTGGAAGCCCGAGCCTGTGTAGCCCTTGAGTCATGTGGATGTGAGTAGGGACTCTGACACGAAACAATGCTGACCGGTGATGTACAGGCTTTATCACGAGTCCCCATCTCCTAGAAGCCCTGACAACACCAGGGGCAGAGCGTGCGTGCTGGCGCTAATGTCACTCTGTCCGGATCCCGAGTTCATGGAGTAGTACTGCCCACAGTTAGGATCTCTCTACATCCATTAATGGGATCGAGATAATCACTCACAGGCTGCCCAGGGGCTTGGCTACTAGGTATGGTAGATCCTGTCAGATTGATCCCCCAGGTTCTCGGGGGCTGCTGCTTCTACTCTTCAAGAGAGGGAGAGAGCACCCTGGGCCACACGTCAGAGAAGGAAAAGAAGAGATGGCTGACGACTCAGAGATGTCACAGGGACTCCATAGAGCGCCGGGCACAGAAGCTGAGCACAGAGGGCAGCTAGGGTGTAGAGATGTAGTGAGTGGGGGTGGCAGTGGACCTTCACTGGGAAGAAACAGGAGCAGGACTCTTCCCTGAGAGCAGTGGCTTGTGGGAGAAGGTCATGAGATCAGGAAAAGATAGTAACACCCTTTTCTGTCCCTTCCCCTCTTTGCTTTGAAGATGTTTGGGTGGAAGGGTCTGGAGGTGAGTTGTTTCTGGCAGACATCCCCATCTTTTAGCCTGCTAACTGTCTTCCCTGGCGGACGGTTTGTCTCTTCCGGCTCTTTCTCGTCTCGAGTCTACTACTCTCCCTCCACAGTGTACGTCCCTTGGCGTCACTTCAGTTGTGCCTGATACCTTGTCCCACAAACATTTTGAATGACTCGAGTCATGCTTGTAATTGACCAGGCACCCTTAACACAGTTTGTTGTTTCCTGGAATTGGACAGTCACATTAGGAAAACAAAGTCTGTGGGGTGTTCTGTTTTGTTTTTATGGTGCTTTGTGGGTTCCCTTAGCAAATTCCTGTTGTATAAGTTTGTAGCTGTGCAGAACTTTGTGAAATCATAGTCAGGGCATCCCGTGTGTGTGTGTGTGTGTGTGTGTGTGCGTGTGTGTGCAAAAGCCCTGATGGCCTCACACGATGCAGGCATCTTTCTTCCTGTGTTCTATTGGTGTCACTCTTGGAAGCATGGTTTGTGCCTAGTTCAAAGTCTGTGTACATCACAGGAGACGATACAAAAGTGGCACCTCAATTGGGAATCTGATTTGCTTTTGAAGTTGCTTATGGGGCAAGGGCAGGACCGGGGGCAGTGGCAGGGGCAGAGGTAAGGGTAGAGGCTGACCTGTTCCATGCCCAGCGCAGTGGAAAGCCTCATCATCCAGGGGTCAAATGGAAGCAGGGGTAGGCGAGAAAGGAAGCCAGATAGTTCAAGCCCTCCCAGCTGCTCCAAGGGAGACTGTAAACAGGAAGAGAAGCAGGTGCTAAAGCTGGCGAGGGAAGACAAGTCTTGGAAACAACGAAGATGGGATAGGGCCATGGCCTGGGACAGACTGTGGAGGAAGCAGGAAATTGCTTTTTCCCAGACCAGAACCTATAGAGGGTATGGACTTGGGAACTCAGGCCTCCGTGGATTCAGATGAGCTCTGAATTCTGTAACCCACATGGGCTGATGTTCAATCTTGGGCCATATTGCACAGCCAATGACCAAGCAAGGTTTTGGTATTTGCTTCTTGCAAAGGCCCCAGCTGTTGGAGAGAATGTCTTGGAGGGACTACTTGTTCCGTTTGTCCTCTGCTGGTGTCTGTCCTTCCCCTTGCACTCTCAATGGGTTATTTTCCAAGTTCTTTGACCGGACATATGTTAATGGCTCTTGCTTACCAAGCAGGCGTTATCTTTCTTCTCATTCTGCAGTTTACAAAAAAAAAAAAAAAGATAGAAAGTTCCTCAGTCTTCCTAAATCACCTAATATGCGGCAGAGCATTGAACCCAGGTCTGTTTAACTCCTCCCCTGTGAATGCTTTGCCACAGTGTGCTGCAGAATCTGAACCCTGTGCCTGGATGACACTGTCCACAGTCTTTCCCCCACCTCCACCCTCCAGGATCAAGAAATCAGGTAGCAGAGGCTGCCTGCTGGGGCCATTTCCAGTCTTGAGTATGAAGCCTACCAGCCCTCAGCTTGAGGGAGTCTTGTTAAAGTCTGTGAACCCTTTAGGACCAGTGACCCTTTTTTAATCAAAGCATAGTCTTTTTGTACAGTGCAAAGTGTAAAGGGGAGAGACAAGATGAGGGATTTAAACAGGAAAAGACGCAGAGAGCTCTACAATGAGCAAGCCGTCAGAAGACTATGATCTATGATCTCTAGACCTCAAAAGATACCTATGTTGGTATTTTAATAATAATAAACAACTCAGGGTATATGGATACGCTCTATATGGACACACCCTCGGGGTAGTATAATCATAGTGTCCTCTTGCACCCTCAAAGACTAAGGAACCCTGAGATCCTCTTGTGCTCTCTGCTTTGGCTGTGTTAGGGCACATGTTTTAAGTTGTCTTAAAGGCTCCACTTCATCCATCTGAAAGTCATTTTATCTGTGTCAATGACTCCTTTGTAACAAGGGAAAATATCCTGAGTGCAGAGTAAGTTAATTGCAGCCATTAACTGCTGTGGGAAGCCGCTGGTCCATCCCTGCTGCCACCCATTCCCTGCCCCGAGTGCAAGTTAGTAGCCCTTACTCCTGAACGATTCCAGAACAGGGTGGCCACACCCTTGTCTCTGTGGGCTCTGCTCCTGAGGTAGGGCTCCCCATGTGTCTGCTGTGTTCCCACACCCCACTGGCCATTGTGTCTTACCTGTTTATGTTTGCAGTTTGTGCTGGCTCCGTTTGAGTCCCAGGTACTCGTTCTCTCTCTCAAGGGCACTTGGTATTGAATCCAGCTAGCAGTTTGTCCTAACTGAATGTTTGCACACAGGCACCCAGTGAGCCTTGGCTGACTGAACGTGAGGAAAAGTGCACACGTGTAGATTGGCTCTGGCACCAACTACAGAACATGGTGGCATCATGGGATTCTTCTCTGAGAGCAGTGGTTCTTGACCTGTGGGTTATGACCTCTTTGGGGGTTGCATAATCAGATATCTTGCATATCAGATATTTATATTGAGATTCATTACAGTAGCAAAATTACAGTTAGGAAGTAGCAACCAAATAAGTGTCTGGTTGGGGGTCACTGCAACATGAGGAATGATCCTTCTTTTTGTATGTTTTTTGCAGTTTTTTCATTGTTTTTATTGAGCTATACATTTTTCTCTTGTTTTCCTCCCTACCTCTCCCCTCCCATTCAACCCTCTCCCTTGGTCCCCATTCTCCCAATTTACTCAAGAGATTTTGTCGTTTTCTATTTCCTATGTAGATTAGATTCATGGATGTCTGTCTCTCTTAGGGTCCTCATTGTTGTCTGGGTTCTCTGGGATTATGAATTGTAGGCCACTTTTTCTTTGCTTTATGTCTAAAAGCCATTTATAAGTGAGTGCATATGATATTTGTCTTTCTGGGTCTAGGGTACCTCACTCAATGCGATGTTTTCTAGATTCATCCATCTGCCTGCAAATTTCAAGATGTCATATTTTTTTTCTAATGTATAATACTCTATTGTGTAAATGTACCACATTTTCCTTATCCATTCTTCAGCCGAGAGGCATTTAGGTTGTTTACAGGTTCTGGCTATGACAAACAATGCTGCTATGAACACAGTTGAGCACATGTCCTTGTGGCACAATTGAGTATCCTTTGGGTATATACCCATAAGTGGCATTGCTGAGTCTGGTGGAAGGTTGTTTCCTAATTTTCTGAGAAATCACCATACTGATATCCAAAGGGGCTGTACAAGTTTGCACTCCCACCAGCAATAGAGGAGTTTTCCCGTTACCCCACAACCTCTCCAGCATAAGTTGTCATCTTGGCCATTCTGACAGGTGTCAGATGGAATCTCAGAGTTGTTTTGATCTGCATTTCTCTGATGACTAAGGATGTTGAGGATTTCCTTATGTGTCTTTCAGCCGTTTTAGATTCCTCTGTTGAGAGTTCTCTGTTTAGGTCTTTATTCCATTTTTTTATTGGATTATTTGTTCTTTTGATAACCAATTTCCTGAGTTCTTTGTATATTTTTGAGATCAGACCTCTGTCTGATATGGTGTTGATGAAGAATTTTTCCCCATTCTGTAGTCTGCCATTTTGTCTTGTTGACCTTGTCCTTTGCTTTACAGAAGCTTTTCAGTTTCAGGAGGTCCCACTTAATTGTTTCTCTCAGTGTCTGTGCTACTGGAGTTATATTTAGGAAGTGGTCTCCTGTGGCAATGCATTCAAGTGTACTTCCCACCTTCTTTTCTATGAGGTTCAGTATGGTTGGCTTTATGTTGAGGTCTTTGATCCATTTGGACTTGAGTTTTGTGCATGGCAATAGATCTATGATATTGATCTATTTTCATTCTTCTACATATTGATATCCAGTTATGCCAGCACCATTTATTAAATATGCTTTCTTTTTTCCATTTTATATTTTATACATCTTTGTCAAAAATCAGGTGTTCATAGGTGTGTGGATTAATATATGGGTCTTTGATTCGGTTCCATTGGTCCTGCTGTCTATTTTTATGCCAATACCAAGCTGTTTTCAGTACTGTAGCTCTGTAGTTTAAAGTCAGGGATTGTGATGCCTCCAGAAGTTCCTTTATTGTACAGGATTGCTTCGGCTATCCTCGGTTTTTTGCTTTTCCATATGAAGTTGAGTATTGTTTTTTTGAGGTTTGTGAAGAATTTTGCTGGGATTTTGATGGACATTGCCTTGAATCTGTAGATTGCTTTTGGTAAGATTGCCATTCTTACTGTTAATTCTACCTTCCCAAGAGCATGGAAGATCTTTCTATTTTCTGGTGTCTTCAATTTCTTTTTTCAAAGATTTAAAGTTCTTGTCATACAAGTCTTCCACTTGTTTGGTTAGAGTTACTCCGAGATATTTTGTGCTATTGTGGCTATCATGAAGGGTGATGTTTCTCTGATTTCTTTCTTGACTCATTTATCATCTGTGTACAGGAGGCCTACTGTTCTTTTTTTAAAAAAATTAATCTTGTATCCTGCTACATTACTGAAAGTATTTATGAGTTGTAGAAGTTCCTTGGTAGAATTTTTGGGGTCTCTTATATAAACTATCATATCATCAGCAAATAGTGAGAGTTTGCTTTCTTTTTCAATTTGTATCCCCTTCATCCACAAGGAATGGTCTTACAGGGTTGTCATGTTAGGAAGGTTGAGAACCACTATCTTGGAGTGATGAAGCGTTGTTGATATGAGACATCATAGGGGAAAGAGGAAGACTTCTGTATGATCCTTCCTCATCTCATCCTTCCACGAAGTGGGATTGTCAACCGCACTGCACACATGTGCAGACTGAAGCCCAGAAGGGGGTAAGAACCTGTGTGGTAGCATTTATGGCTGATGGGTTGGAAACATTAATTCTGTCCTAACCCAAAACACACAGGGTTTTGCCCCTGCCAGCTTGCTCTGCACCATGTTTCTGATAAGAAACGCTAAGTTCTCTCTTTCTCCTGATTGGACTGTGTGATGGTCAGTCTTTGTAGCTGGGGAGGACAGGACTTGGAGCTACCCAGAAGACACACGTCTGGGCATGGCTTTGAGGGTGTTTCCAGAGCGGTTTTGATCACTGAGACCACATTCCCGAATCAGACCAGAAGATCTGTGGTTAGAAGTTTCCTCAGGTATCTTTCACTCTTTCTGAGATGCTGGAACTGTTGTTTGCTACCGTGGCATCGTAATTCTTTCCTTTTTCCCTCCTGTCTATGTCTTTGCCATTATGCATAGAGTCCTCTGCTAGAAGGAAGAGGGTAGAGGATCTAGTCCTTGCTGTCTGCTCTCACTTGGGGGGTGCAGGTATTCCGGATCGCCTCATTCAAAATGGGATTTAGGTGAGGAAGGCTATGTACCCAACCTCTGCATCAATGTTGATCTTAGGATGAGAAGTGATGAGTTCAGACCACCCGAGGTAGTATTAATGGAAAGTTGCTTGCCTCCCAGCTTGGTAAGTCTCAGTTTGGAAAGCTGACTACTAGAATCACAAAGCACAGGACAGGATGCTTCAAATCAAGTGTCAAGGGCCCCAAGTGAGAATTTAGATCTCCAGATACATGGATTTGTTAATGCAAACAACAGGAAGTCTCTCAGGAGTGGAAGGGATCTTTAGACCAGCGTTGACCTGAATGCTTGAAGTTCACCTCATCCCTTCCCCCACAATCCTCTTGGCTGTCTGTCTCAGCATGGATGATCAAACAGCCAGCATGGCTAATGCAGTATAGCCACCGTGCCACAGGGACCAATGCAGCATAACCCCTGTGCAACAGGCAAACACAGATGAGCAGGGACGCCAGTCATGGTGGCTTGGGAATGTGACAGAGGAAGTCCCGGGTTATCCTGAAACATCACTGAAGGTCTGCTGCACACATTTGACTCCCTTGAGTGAGCCTGACTGCCAAACACCCTCTCTGTCCAGAACTGAACATTCTAGAAAATGGGCTTGCTGAAGGCGTTTCTGGGGAAATTGCGTGCCTTATGAGGTCAGGAAGGGCCTTAGAGATGGGCTTCTTTGGGTCCTTTCTTACAGATGTTTCTCTGTCACAAGCTGGAGAAAAGTCAAATCCAAGCAGTTGGCTCCCTTAACCAAAGACTCTCTTTCATGGTTACCCTTCTAGAAGGCACTTTAATCAAATGCACCTCAATGGCTTGAAGGGAAGGATGGGGGGTGTGCGGTTCTTTCCAAGTTTGAGGATCAACACCAGAATGTAAAATTATCACCCACGGACCTGAGGTGGGGTCCCCCGGATAGACCTCCCCAGAGTACCTTGTCTCCATCCACGGTCGTTTGCCCTCCACGATGGTCCCATTGTAACCAAGAGGAGTGGTTTTCGCTATGTTTCTGTGGGAGCCACAGGAGTGAATCTTGAATGTGTGTTTCTCCTTTCAGACTGCTCTGCGATGACAACAGCCAGGTACCGGCCCACCTGGGACCTGGCCCTTGACCCGCTGCTGTCCTGCAAGCTGTGCCTTGGGGAGTACCCGGCGGAGCAGATGACAACCATCGCCCAGTGCCAATGCATCTTCTGTACCCTGGTTGGTCTCTCGGCTCCAATGCATGTTCATGGAGGTTGCTGGTCTCACTTCCAGACACACCAAGCCACACTTGGGGCTGAACTTTGTGGGAGCCTAAGTGTCCATTCAGACTCACACAGAATGAGAGGGATCCTTCAGGCAGGTGGCTGAAGTAGATGCTTTGCATGACAATGGCTTGTCATACGGGAGTCATCATTTAGCAGGATTGTTGGAAGGGGCAGCAGAACGGAAACACCCGACACAGCGTGCATTCCTCTTGCTAGACAAGAACGTTTTCCGTACCTCATTTTCAGTTTAATGATAAGTACACACTCGACATTGTGGCAGGGTTAACCTGAGGACTGTGAGCAGCTACAATCTGTAACCGTTAGTGCTATCTTTCTCTGTTGAATACTGAGTGACAGTGTCTATGGCTTGAGGCCAAATTTTCCTGCACCGTAATCAGAATTTCTTGAGGCCAAAAGATCTGTTCTCAACATGAATATAGAGACTCCTAATTCAAGAGGTTTGGGTTTGGGTCTAATTCAGACACGAAAATATTTTTCTTTTTTTTCTTTTCTGTTTTGTTTCTGAACATGTGTGTGTATATGTATCTGCTATGTGTGTGATAGTTTGTGTGTGCGTCTGTGTGTGTGTGTACTGTGTAGAGCAGAAGAGGGCATCAGATTCCTAGAACTGTATTTATGAGCATTTTAAACCACTTGATGTAGGTGCCAGGAATCAAACTTGGGTCCTCTGGAAGACTAGCATGTGCTCTTAACTGTTGAACCATCTCTCCAGTCCAAACTTAGAATTTTCACCATAGAATATTATGATCAAAGAAAAACAAAAACAACAACAAAAACTCAGCAGAACAAAAGAGTGTAACATGAGGGCAGGCTTGTTGGGGTTTCTGTCCTGCCTGGTACCCCACAACCGGCAAGTCCCAAAGAAAATAACACAGAGTCTACATTAGGTTATAAACTGATTGGCCCATTAGGTCAGGCTTCTTATTAGTCCTTGTAACTTATATTAATCCATTATCGTTATCTATGTTAGCCACACGGCTCAGTACCTTTCTCAGCGTGGCAGCTCACATATTGCCTCTTCGGTGGTCTGGGCAGGAATGGCAGAGGGAGCTTCCTACTTCTCAGAATACTCCCAGTCTCTTTGCTCTACCCCTACTTCCTGTCTGACTTTCCCGCCTATACTGCCTGCTTGGCCAATCAGCGTTTTATTAAAATATGATTGACAGAATACAGACAATTCTCCCACAGCAAAAGAGTAGGTTAAAAATAAAGAAAACATTATTTATTTGGTTTTTTCTGTTCCCCCCCCCCGCCCCACTTGGTCCTGGGAGAACAGGAGTTGAAGGGACATTACCAGAGCAGGTAGGACAAGGCAGTGTTGACCAGACAGTGCAGGGCACAGTTGTGTGTCTTGGCTATGATGGACTGTTGAATGCGTTAGCATGCTGTACTGGGTGTGAAGACACCCTGTCTCGGCTTAAATATTCTCACCAGAAATAAAAAGCAAGGCAGACCAATGGCAACTACAAGAATAAACCCGAAGTCAAAAGGACATGATGCATGCTTAAATTGATCACTTCCCAATATTTACGTGCAGGGCTGGGGAGATAGCTCAGTATGGACAGGTTTGCAGGTTTGAAAACCTGAGTGCAGATCATCAGAACCCACAGAAAACCAAAAGTATAGCATGAACGTCTGCCATCTAATTGTTCCTACTTGGGAGATGGAAGGTGGGGGCAAGACGGTCCCTGGAAACTCAGGGGTCATCTAGCCTGGTTAGAGGAGAAGCAGTGAAGGCAGCCTGTCTGAAGGAGCTGCATCTCAGGCTGTCCTCTGCACACAGCCGTGTTCACACGCATGAATGCACCTGCTCCACACACACACACACAAATACACACATATGTGGAAGCATCAAGCCAGGCACCTTAAATATGCTGTTTCTGTTTGTCAGTTATATATATCACTACATCCGGGTGGCAAAAGAAAATGTTGCAGTCCCTTGTAACGGTATAGAAGGGGAGAGAGAACTCTCTTTAGACTGTTCTTGGAAAGTCCCATTGCTTCTGACTTTAATTGCCGTTCTGACTGCAGAGTGTGGGCAGCTGCCTGTGGAGCTGAGATGAGAACATGGCTGCAAGTCTCTCCTACCTTGCTGCCTGGGTGTCTTCATTGGCCTGCCCATGTCCAGAACCCTCTGTTTCCTTTATGCCTTCAGATCTAGGAGCCTGAGCCTTAATTAAGCCCACATCTCATTCCCAGAAGGCTCTAGGCTGCCTCTCAAAAGCAAGGAGACTTTCTGGTTCATTATGTATCCCTTCAAAACCTAGCTTAGTGCAGCACTCATAATAGCTAATCAATAAAGGCTCAGGACAAGAACTGAAGCGATTTGATCTCTCTCCGAGCTCACAGTCAAAGACACGCGGCTCATTAAAGCCCCAGGAAAGACTGGCATCAACCCGCTGGAAAGGAAAGTGCTTTTGATGTTTTCAGGAGGTGGGTGAGAGAGCAGGACAGGGGTGGGAGGAGCTGGAGACCAGAAGATGATGGAGTGGCTCTCACCGTCTGATTAATGCAGGGCTCAGATCTCAGCCAGCGGAAGAGCTAGCACTGGAGCCTGGCAGGGTGTGCTAGAAAGTTAGCTTTCTGCAGAGTGCGTCCCTCTTGCCCGAAGGGATATTTCTACAGTTCCCTCCGGTCCCCCAACACCGCTCTGCCGTGAGTGCTTTGGGACATACCTGCTTCTCTCCAGTTACCTGGAGCTGTCAAAGTCACAGCATGCTTTTTTGCTGGAAATACTGGTCTTCCTGCCTTCCTGCCAAGCCTTTCGTTTCATTGTTGCTTTTGTTTCCATGTCTAGAGAATTCTTGTAAAACAAAACAAAACAACAACAACAACAAAAAATAACGATGCTAACTCACGCTAAGGGCTTATTTAAGTCAAGGAATGTAAGACACAGCTGGCCACTGTTTTCTCAAAGAAGCCAGGTCAGAAGTACCAAGGAGGAGTGCTGTTTTGTGGCAGGTGTTGGAGATCAGCATCTTGTCTGTGGCTCTGGGGTGCGGAATGATAGGGGTGCCTGTGTGTTGACTGAGAAGGGTAAGCCGTGTCATCACACCCTGTTAGTTACACAATGTCTCCTCTGCTGGGGTCACTGGGGTCAACACGCCATGTCAGTTACACATTGTCTCTTTTGCTGGAGTCACTGGGGTCACAGCAGTGTGAATAAGCCATAGAGGAGCAAGGACCCCTTATCAGACAGACAGGAAAGCAATACAATTGTTTCACCCTGACAGAAAGCATCCTGCCTCAAGACAGAGCTGCACAGGGAATAGTAATGCCAGATCCAGAGAAGGAGGATGTTTTCCCACAAGATCCTCTCAATCGCATGGGTCAAGCTGGCACCATGGCTGGCCATTGTGTGGGGGCTGCGAGTCACTTCAGAAGGAGTGCCCAGCTGTGGAGGGGTGAGTTTGCCCTCTACCACTAACTGGCTCTGTGTTGGTGGTCGGGAACTTGGCAAGGTTTCAGGCTTCCAGTCTTCTCTGGTCTTCATATTCTGGAATGAGAGTTGTCTATGATCACCACGGTTCGTGAGCGTTGTCTCTTTTCTGTCACTGACAGCTCCTTCATGTCTCTTTGTGGTGCATGTCAGCTGCTCATGCCCATGGCTTATGTCTGTCCCCAGCCCTTTGACCATCATCTCAGTAGGGTCTCTGAGCAGATGGGGTGACTTGGATGGTCATTTCATAACCACATGTCCCTAGATGAAGAAGAGGGGAAGGAATATCACCAGTAACTGAACCAAAAGAACAATTCTTTCCCAGAAAAAGGCCCAGCCTTAGAACCTGACTCCTGGGTTAGCTAAGGTGTGTCCATCGATTGGCTCAGCCGGGGGCCTGGAACCTGTCTCCAATCTCTGGGCTAGTCTTGCTAAACCCCAAGGCCAAGCAGGCAGGGAATGGTTCTGGAAGAACATGGGATACTACTCATGGGGAGCAGTCAGAACATTCCTCTGAATGTAGAGAATAAATACTCTCCCTTACTAGGCTCCTCCCACTGCCTTGGTTTCCCTCTCAGCCCTCTTTGAAGTCTCTTGACTCCTCCATCATCTGGGGTTTAAACTGACTCTTGCCTTAGTCGGGCACTGTGGTTCTGTTTCCTGATATGGCTTTACTGATGGGAGGAGTCTTCAGGCATAGCAGGGTTGTATACCCTTTGACTTGTAGGTTTATCAGGGCTTGGAGAAATGAAACCGGTCTTACTATGTGAGGTCAGCCTGCCCTAGTCAGAGAAGATTTTAGCAAATCGTTTCCAGAATGTTGTTGAGCGTAGGTAGTATGGTAGTTGGAAAGAAAATGGCCCCCAAGAGGAAGTGGAGCTATTAGGAGATATGGCTTTATTGAAGTAAGTGTGGTCTTGTTGGAGGACATGGGTCACTGTGGAGGTGGGCTTTGAAGTCTCATATATGCTCAAGCCATGCCCAATGAGACAGACCACTTCCTGTTGCCTGCAAGCCCAAATGTGGGACACTGGGCTACTTCTCCAGCACTGTGATGATAGTGGACCAAACCTCTGAAAATGTGAGCCACTCCACTGAATGTTTTCCTCTATAAGAGTTGCCGTGAGTGAGGTAACCCAGACACAGAAAGACAATTATCACATGTACTCACTCATAGGTGGTTTTTAAACATAAAGCAAAGAAATCCAGCCTACAAACCACAATCCCAGAGAACTTAAACAACAGTGCGGACACTAAGAGAGACTTACATAGATCTAATCTACATGGGAAGTAGAAAGTAGAAAAAGACAAGATCTCCTGAGTAAATTGGGAGCATGGGGACCTTGGGGGAGGGTTGAAGGGGGAAGAGGAGAGGCAGGGAGGGGAGCAGAGAAAAATGTAGAGCTCAATAAATATCAGTAAAACATGTATTATAAAAAAGTTGTCGTGACCGTGGCATCTCTTCATATCAACGGAAACCCTAAGACGGGCTC